ACCTTGTGGCTTTTTCTCAACATGAAAGGCTCAACCAATTTATCTGCTTATTCTTTTTTTATAACTCAAGTAGAGGTAATAAATAAATCTAGAAAGCATTTATCTCTTTTTAACATATGTATCATTGGGCACATTGCCAATGGGATTCAAAGATTGGAGCTAATTACAATAGAGGATCAATTTTTCATATATTTATTTTTTGATGTTTTTCTTTCTTATTTTATTTTTAATGTCAAGAAATGGGTGTAATGAAAGGGTGGAAGATATGGATTGGAGGTGAAGAAGACATTGTCATAAGAGCCTAGCACAAGAGACAAGGAGAGGCCTGATGTCTTGGATTACAGTAAAGATTCTATATATATATATATATATATATAAAATAAAAAAAAATAAAAAATCATGTGTTGTTGATGCAAATGATGTGAGGAACTTGAGACTCCATGGTTTAAAGCTTTAAAGTCCCGACCCAGAGGATTCTGGTTTGACTTGTAGTGCAAGGTTTCCAACTTTTTCTGTATTTGTTTGTTTGTATACACGTCTAAATTTAAATATTGAAGGGGCCAACAAACCACCATAATATTAAAATGTACTTGGGAACGTGTGAATAGTAGTGACAATCATAAGATTGCAATGAATAATAAGATTTTGTTCTCAGGATATATGTTCTGGGATACAGTAAATGTATTTCAATGCAAAAAAATGCACTCTCTTCTTTGTTCCTTTCTTCTGCTTTTCATGTTGAATTGTTAAAGGATACACTTTAGATCAGAAAATTAACAAAGAAAGGACAATTTTACATTAATTTTGATGTGAAGACTAAGAACTAAAATATAACTTTCTTTGAAGATATGATCAATTGTAGAAAATCAATCATGTTAAATAGATAAGGACTTTATCTTTCTTGTGTTTGTCAATCAATAGCAATGTGCTTGAGCATTATATCATTACAGTAAACTTAAATCAATCCTGCTCACTAATTTATTTTAATATAACACAATAGAAAATGAAATTTAACCATCATATGTTTTAATCGTCATGTGTGGGGAATTTTTTTTTAAGTTTCATGTATAAGACATGATTTTTTTGGAGAAAAAGTATAAATTTTATGCACATCATGTTGGAGTTCTAAAACTTGAAAGACCATTTTTGTTAATCTTTTTAAAAAATCATCAATAATTGATAGAGAGGTGTTCTCCGAAAGACTAATAAGGGTAATTATAAATAAGTGATAATCACGTATTTATTTTTCCCCTTATGTTTCCCCTTGGTTTCACCAGTTCATTTGCTTTTCACAAGGAATTAGACCCCACATAACTATTTATATATAGTAGGATAAAAACAATTGAATGCTTCTGTAGGGCAATGTTGAGAACTACATTAGCAATCAATTGCTTTAAACGCATCTTCAATTCATTGACTTAATTCCTATTAATTCAATTCAAAAAATATAATAAATTGTGTTCAATTCCAAGTCTTATATGTCAACTAATACAAAATTTCAACTCACATATCTTATCGTAGAAATTTAAACATACAGTTAGCAGGAAATTGGTAGTTTATGAACGTGAGATAATTCATCAAAAAGCTGCAAAAAGATTCAAGAATGAAGGATATGAGTGGAGACTAGGACTGAGAAATTCTGCCCACAGAGTAAAAAAATAAAATAAAAATAAAAATAAAATGAGGGACCCACTTGAGAAACTTGATTCATGGACACCGAAGTGGACACCAACTTACCTACACATGTATGTTGCCTTGCCTTGCATTGCCTGACTGACTCTTCAATGCAATTGCTGCAAGGAGCGCAGTGCTGACTGGAATGGCAGTGAGTGAGGTTTCAATTATAAATATTTTTCTACTTCGAGGTTGGGGGGATGTGCCCTGCCTCCATGCGACGTCATGGTTTTGCTGTGAAAGTGGGAGCAACCGTAGCCACAAAAGTCAGCGACAGTCGGTGTCCCCAGACGGGCACGAGAGCCGCGGTGGTGTCTCCACCCACCAACCTCCTCCTTTTTCAGCCCCCTCCTTCCCCTTTTTTCTTTCTCGCTAAATAATCGCCGAGTCAGCTTCGTTGTGTTCCAAGCGATTCGGTGTCCAAGTGGCTCTACTGTACACTAACTATAGTGCACCTCTCTCACTGTCTGGGGGGGTGAAGTGCCTCATAGGACTCTCTAGTTTCTGTGAGTGCGTCAGTGAATCTTCTTCCAGGAGGGGGGAGGTGTCATGCATGGCGTCGAACCTGTGAATGAATTCAGATTCCCAGTAGTTGCTCTAAATTCCCGTGCCGCATCCACAGGGAGGACTTTTAATGACAGCGCTTGATTAAGTTCAGCTGTCTGAGATGGGTCTGTGTGTGTGACTCAATTCTGTGCACGGATGGATGCTAGTGCAATGCACAGGGTTGTGGAGACTGCAATGGATATGCCCCTGTGGCTTGGGGCACCGTCTCCCGTTCCCAGAGGTTGATGACGTGCTGTGGGAAATTGGATGTCGGTGGGTTCGTCATTGCTGGATGTAGTAAACCTGCCCCTTTCTTAACCCTATAAATGGACTGTTGTCTAGTATGACGTACATTCAAGATCCGTCTGTGCTCTGTATCTGCATGCTCCGTGAGGGTTAGTTTCTGTTTATTGAGGTCTAATGAGTAAGCTTTCCCACAGACATCTGCTCGTAGCAATTGTGTAAGTTGCATGGATGGACCTTGTGTTCAACAAAATTTGGCTGCGAGCATTTACTTTTGCTCGAGGTTGCTTTCGTGCCTTGCTTCATGCCGATCTGACCATGGTGGTGGATTGCTTCCGCTAGCGATAGCGTTATTATAGCAACCTCCTTTCTAGGACTTTTTTTCAACAGTGTACCCAGTCGGCATGCTGGGCTGGCGCAGACCCTGAAGAGGTTACTGCCGGTGATTGTATCGTAATTAGTGTTTTGAGACAGCTCGCTGCGGTTTCTAACTTATAAAATTGATCGTATGAGTCAAGGAGACGTCAGGTGAGTTTTTTCCAGACGACAACACCAGTGATAGTCAATCGTGTCAAAGATATCTGTAGGATAAACTGGATGTGCGGTGTAAGCTCCTTTTTTTCCATTACAAGGGGTACAATATTCGAGCATTGTATATCCATCCGTATTCGGGACTGATCCTTTCATCAGTAGTTTCAGTGAGGTCCGTGTATTACTCACAGCTGGGCTCTAGTTACGAGCAAACGTAAGCCACAGTCGATCCGTTTTAGAACCATGTGTTTAGCGAGGTCCACCTAAGGGACTAGTGGATTTTCAGAATAATATGATGGTATGACGTGGCCTCTTTCGTCTCAAAGAATCTGCACCAAAGCTGATAGTTTTTTTTGATTTGAGCGAACGTGACAGCTGAACCACCCAAGTTCGTGCTGTACAAAACTGAGCAGGGCCAAAGGGTTTCCAGCTGTCCTCTCGCAGCTATACTCGAGGATTCCCTCAGTCGGGCACTAATCTTTCTTGCAATCTGAAGTGCCTTGCATGCAATAATGAGTTATTGCCTACTGTGCCCACTTTTCTAGGTGTCAGGTTCTGTACCATCCTCTTCACAGTCCCGTAGCTGGCCCTTCCCTAGTGAAAATGAAATCGACAGTCGTTGGTCAAGTTGTTTGTACCAGTTTTGAAGCGAGGTGTGCAGATAGATCACTAATGAATATCTTACAGACAGATAGAAAAGTAGAACATGTACTTCGATTATTACTTGTCAGTTCATTGCAGTGGAGATGAAAACCATGGAAGAACAATGAATCAATGGTACTAATGTGTTAGCTGGTCTATTGGGTGGAACTACATGGTTGGTCCTGAAGTCTTCAAGTACCTAAATATACAGTGTTTTTAACAGGTTTCAGTTATTCTTTAAGTCACTACAGTTGACCAAAAGCAAATTCTATCACATGGTACAAGGAGAGCAGAATTCCAAAGAAGAGGAAAGGGGTAGAATTCCAAAACAATGTTGAACTGTGAGTCAAAAGTATATCGTGACTTTTAAGATCTCTTTACACTATCATCGTTTTTGGATTGAGATTGGTGCAATTTTTGTTTTTTGGAAGTTTGTGTAAAAAATAGTTATGAAACTGTAGAGATATAATAACATTATTTGTGAGAAAAAGAGTTGACTTTTAAAACATTGATTAATTGATACACACAGTATGTAAAGTGAACATTTGAAACAAAACTTTTAAACAAACAAAAAAAGAAAAAAAATTGCACAAATCCCAAAAATTAACATAATTTTAAAAAATCTTAAAAAATTCAGATATAACTTTGAACTCAGATATGACTTCACATTCAACAATGTTTTGGGATTCATCACCTTTAGTTGCTTTCATACAATTCAACAACTTCCCTAGGCCATGCATGCATGGCAACACTTCATTAGGCGATGCCTTTATTTAAGCTGGTTTTTTTATATGCTACTGTGTTTAAATTACTGTGTTTAGTTGAAGAGACTAACTTGTGATATTTCTAGTATAATGTAATTCAAGACAAACTTCTGAATCCATTCAGAAGAAAAACATTAGTGAGAGGTTGGTGATACCAGTCAAAAAATCATGATCCAAGAGAACATGTTGGCAAGACTTCTAATTGGCAACAACACACTGGTGAGTTTCTACCTGTTACAATCCTCAGAAGCCTCCCTGATTGAGTAGTCGCACAATGCTACTATCTTGGTTGACTAAGATGACAGCCTAATGAGGAGCACGAAATCTTACTAGGAGTTACGTATGATCACAGGGTTGATGGTCATTAAGAATCTAGACAGGTGGATCTCATTCTTTTGCTTGATTATAGAAGGACATTCTCCATTGACTGTATTAAAGGGTTATGCATTCTTGTTGCAAAGTTTTATCAAAGGACTACATGTGAGCTTGTTTTCATTAAACCCAGTCAGAGTCTTCATCACTGATCACTTGGGTAAGTGACAACGAAGTTCAAAACTCTTTTAAACTGGGTCTTTCATCCATTGAGTTGACTACGAAACAAAAACAATTCGAACAACTTAACTGAAATGGACGAATAGTGGTTGGCAAAAGGAGATTCAACACACCTGCCAGCTATCCGACACGAACTATCAGAAAGTAAGTGTCGTCTCAGGATATCCTGATATGCTTTTTCTTCCTTCCGAGCGTAATGCTGAAGGAAGAATCTAATTGAGTACGGCACTGGTGATGATGTCGATGAGAATATTTTCAGTATGATCGGTGGAGCCTTTGAATGTAATACCAAGCTGTCAGCTGTTCAATAAGGAATAGCACTCGAATTCTGCAGGATCTATTCGTCCTCATTTTTTTGCAAGTTGAATCAATGTATGAGTGAGCAAAGCAAGAGTCCTATGATTAACTTCCAATGCCCAGAGGTCTACTTTAAAAGACTGAAAATGACCACGCCCGCCCAGAAGATCTTTGGAAGACGAACACGAGGACGAAGTGAAAAAAGGTGCGTTTGAAGAGGTTCAAGATCATACGCAGCTTAGATCTGACGTTGGCAGTTGAACGATGAGCAACTGCATATGGAGAATACTGGCGAAGGAAAACTGGAGCAGAAAGAGGTAGAAGAAGTTTCCTGGCCCTTCCTCAACTACCTATCTTGAGATCCTCCAGTCGAATCAAGAGCGCTGCTTTTATAAGGCACGGTCTTATCACATAATATCTCCTTCCACATGTTAATGGCATGTTCGTCTAATACTTTGTCTTCTAGTTGATTAATTTGCTGTAGATGCACATCAATAGACCTGCAATTTTTTTTTGTTAAGGCCTTTGTTTATACTGATGAAGTAATCGTGTGCATGCCAAACTACAAGAGTATCTAACATGTAACATATACTCCAAATGGAACTACTGTCAGTGAAATGCATTTAAGAAGCTAAATGGTGCACCCATGAGTCAACCACCAGCTTGATCACATAAGATCCAAACCATAAACAGTCTGGAACAGAGGTTCTGTAGGCTAAACGTTGTAAACAAATCTGATTTTGCTGTTTTGTCTCAAAAAGTTCTTCTCGATAAGTTTCAAAAGTGATCGATGCCGTCGAAATGTGCACTGTCCTGATAATACACTTAGTTATTTATTTTTAAAATACCGTTGGGCTCTTGTTTACGCTTGGACCAAATCAAGAACCATGCACTTATTTCCTCTCTCGGCTAAAGCTGCGGCTCGAAAATTCAGTACGAACAAATTCTGTACGAACAAATGAAGTACAAAAAAATAACTGGCAGTGGCGTTTAGCACACGTAGTACTCACATCAGTGTAGCAGAAGGGGTATTTCGAACTGGAGGTGTCTGGTGATGCTCTCCAGGCAACGTTCTCATGCCTCGCTAAACACCTTCCATCCCGTAGTTAAGCATGACTTGCATGTTACACATTTTTACATGCTCTCAGCATCTGCTATGGTCCATGCCCCTGTCGAGATCCTTAGTTGCTTACATTCAACAATGCTCTAGTCACAGCTATAACGAAACCTGAGATATGTCCAGTGCATGGAGTGAAACAGTGTGTCAACGGGAATCATATCCTACCATAAAATCAGTCCACCAAGTTAACGCACAGTACAAGTGAACAGCCGCGCCTAATCTATGAAAGATTCAAAGGGTGATGTAATCCTCAACAGCAGTGCTTCACATTCCGCGATTGATATCGCTGAAACCTAATTGCTTCATCATCGAGCACTCGACATCTAAGCAAACCGGCGCCAACCCTGATGAACCAACGGAGAGTACTCTTCACCCTTCAAAAGAGTACAGAAGCACAGCCTGAAATAAACAAGTCACCCCCATTAACACCATCCTTTCCTGCACCCAATTCACAAACGACACAAACCCGCAACACGAACCTCAGAATGCATATGTTGTCAGCATTAGCTGCCCTATGAATCCTTTCTCTGCCCTTCCGCCACTTCTCCTTGTCACATAACTTCGTTCATCTGTGCTTGCGATTCGCGGAGGAATGCGCTGCCTGACAAGATGGACCCCGTCCTTCGAGCCCTCCCTCCCTCCCATCCCATCCCATACCTCTGACAACTTGGCTTAGTCCCGGAAAACCAGCTCGAAGGCTGAAATCTAGTTCAGACGTGCTATCTGATATGATGTGTGTGTGTGTTTGTGTGTGTTTTTACTACACTGTTGTGACCCTCACAACTTCAACTGGAACTGCATCGTTTCTAGCCCATTCCTTAGGCGATTGGACAAGATGAGACTCAGATGAATAGGATCTGGATCAGACAAAGGAGGAGGAGGAGGAGAAGGAGAAGCATTGGAAGAGTGAGGGATGTGGACGCTGTGAGCATGAGCATTGCCTGAGCTTGTTCGAAGGATCTCCGCTTTGTAATGCAATTGAGAGGTTGTGAGGAGGAGGAGCTTTTCAATGGATGACCATGAAACAGCCTCTCCTTCATTGTACACTTCATGCCACTTTGCTTCTTCTTTCTGAAAGTAAGGTTGCTTAGTTGTGGAGGTTTGGCATTTGTGTCAACAAGTAATAACTCAATGCAAAAATTAATGAGGAATCATTATTTGCATGTGAAGGAATATATTATAATGAGGAAATTATTATTATTTATTTATTACTATCAATTTGAAATAATATGTATTAATAGGTAAAAAAATATTTAAAAAATAAGTTTATAAAAATGAATTTAATTTTTTGATATGACAAAGATAATAATAAGGGATTTTTATTAATTTATATAACATGATAATTTAAAATAATAAAAAATATGAAAAAATCAAAGTAAAAATTGGAGTATAATAGATGGTTCACTTTATGAAAATAAGTTGATTTTGCAATCAAAATCGTGAGTAAAAAATATGTGTGCCACCACATATTCCATAGCTAAATGAGAATTTGTAGACCATATTTTAAATACATATTTCAATTGTAATTTAAAAGATTTTGGTTTATATAATGTTATTTTTTTATATATAAATTGGCTAAAATCACTATAAGTTCAATTTTTAATTGTAATTTAAAACATTTTGGTTTATATAATGTTATTTTTTATATATAAATTGACTAAAATCACTATAAGTTCAATTTAAGATACTATAAAACATATAAAAAATTAGTATCTGAGAAAATTGAGTTTAAAATATATTATCTAAATTTGACTAATACTACTACAATTTTACTAGCTATTGTTTATTTTTTTTCTTTCTATGAAAGATATTTATATAAAAAAAAAAATTATTGATATAAATGTTATTTTTTTTCCAAAAGTTTAAAATAAATTATAATATTTTATTTTATATATAAATATATATATATATATATATATATATTTAAATTAAAAAAAAATATCATAAATTTTTTACTATCACTTATTTTAAAATCTCTATTATTTTTATAAAAATCTATAATTTTTTAGCCTAAAATATACTAAATAAAAATATTCTTATACGAAGATAATGTCAAATTAAAAATTTATTATAATATAAATTTAAGAAAAAATAATATTAATACTTATATTTTTAGTTTTATTAATTTTTTATTTTAATAAAAATTAGATGAAGAACAATTAAAACAATTATAGAGACTTAAGAATGTTTTAAAAAAACTTAAAAGCTTCTTATTAATCTTATAAAAAATATTTTATATATTTATACATCTATATGTTTTAAATATATTATTTTTAAAATTAAAATTAAAAATTAACTTTGTTATTATATGAAAATAATTAAAAAATTTGTCACTTGATGTGGTATTAATTTTCTTAGATATAGTGGTTTATCATTTAATAAAGCTTGATTCCTTCTTATACTTGTACTTTTAGATTCTTTCTTTGCAGAATAAAAAATATATTAACTAATAGTGAAATGGAGTTTAGAGTTATTTAAAAATAAAGAAATATGTAGATTTTAAAGATATTTCCATGGAATAAAATTTGAAAGGTAAAATTAGTATTTAAGTACAGAAATTTGAATTAGAAGAAGAGATAAATCAAGTACATGAGGTTTTATAGTTTTGAAAGTACTTTTGTTAGATTTTCATAGTGCCAAATTGTAGCAATTGGGTAAGAAGTAGTTGATAGTAGTAATTGTAGGATGGTGTTGTATTATGTAAAGCTTTACTTGAGAATACATTAGGCACTTGGCTATGGAAGGTAAATTGGAAATTACAATAATAATGTCCTAACAACTCTAATAGAATTCTAAATAAAATTTAGTTAAATATTAACAATTTTAATCAAAATTTAATCAAATCCAAAAGAAATCTTTAAGAAATTATAAAAAAAGTATGAAGAAATTATAAATTAACCTTACAAAAATAAATAGAAAAATAATCTTAAATAAATAAAAAAATAAATCTTTAAAAAATAGAAAATAGAAATCCTAAAGAAATAACAAAAATATCTTATTGTAGTCCTAAACAAATCCTAGTGAAATCTTTATGAAATCCTAAAAAAAGCTCACACAAATCCTAATAAAATCCAAATGAAATCTTCAAGAAATCCTAAATAAATCCTAATCAAATCCTTATAAATTCTAATAAAATTCTAAATAAATCATAATCAAATTCTAATAAATCCTAATAAAATTTAAAAGAAATACTAAACAAATCCTAACTAATTTCTAGCCAAATCTTCATAGTTGTTTTGAAATTCCAATAGAAATTTCTTAAATCATTGATTTTAATTAATTTTTATTTGCATTTTAAACTTTAAGCATACATCAAGTACAAAAAATTTGAAAAAAATTAGACTTACCAATTAGAAGAAAGAGTTTCTAATACTCTTAGTTGTTAGGTGTCATACTTCTCTAAATTGAATATTGATCTTTATATAGAATTACTTTGTGTTGAATTATTTAAATATTATAAAAATTTACAAAAGCATAGATGTTTAAGTCCAAAATTCTTTTATAAATTTTTGCTTCAATTGAATTGGAAAAATTCTTAGAATCACAAAAAACCTTACTAATCCTATAATTTGATTATTACTTTGAGAAGAGGGTGTTTAAAAAGATTACTATAGAATTTGTATAACTTTAATTTCTTTTTGATAGTGGCTTTTAAGATTGGTTTTGGTTGATAGTAACTTCTAAATATTTAGAGTCACCTTTGTTAGACATTGGTGACATTTGAAAATTTATTTTGGTTCTTTTATTTGGTGTTTAGAGCATACATTATGTAAATCTTACAAGAAAAAGGATTGAAGAAGGATTTTGGTAGCAAAGGGAGTAATTAGGGCACCAATATAGATGAATGGAGATGAATGATGAAAATCTCCATTCCTATTGGTCAAAAATCATGACCAATGGGCTTTGAGGAGGCTGCCCGAGGCCATATTAGGGATTAGGGTTAGTTTCCGGAGGCCATTCGAACTTACAAGGCTAGAGTCAGAAGGTTTAGGTTTTTGGTTAAGGTTTTGGTGCAAGTTTTGTGTCATTTGGGGTTTTTATGAAGAAGTTATAGGCGCTCAAAGTTAAGGTGTTAGTTTTGGACCTACTGTCACTCTTTTGGGCATAACGCACGCGTACAGATGGCAATTGAGGATCGGCGACCGCGACTAGAGAAAGCACTTTTGCGGCTATACTTTTCACATACTGCTTACTGGATTCCAAGTTGGGATGAAGGAGTTATTGGATTTTGAAGTTAGCACATGCAATTTAAGGGTAGTAAGTAAACCGATTTACTAGTGTTTGTCTCTTGAGCTATATTTTGAGCAATTTTGTGAGGTTTTGGCTCAAAATTTCAAGGAATGTGTAATTTCATGTTAGTAAACTTTGTGCATAAGTTTTATGATATTTGGAGTTCGGGTTTTTGAGATATAAGGAAAATAGTTTTCGGGTGCTTGTAAATTAGGGTTTGGAGTGTCTGCTAGGGTTTCTTAGATGCCAGAAGATCGGAAGTGAATTTGCGGTTGGTTTTTTTTTTTGTGGTACAAGTTAATGGTAAATTCTACCTATCTTGGAAATTTGAAACAAACTGAATGGTTAGATCAATAGTTATGATTTTCTAAAGTTCCGGGCGAGAAAACCCTTCGCGGGAAAAATATGTTTTGAAGGGATTTTGTTATATTTGGAGTTTTATACAAAAATAAAGGAGTTTTGGAAGCCAAGAAAAGAATCATATAAAGGTTTAAGGTACACTCTCTATAGCTAGATACCCATTGTATTCCCAGATAGTAAATCACGCCATACGATACCGCCATCCTTGGCTCCTTTCAAAAGATTCCTTCCTTGAAATATCTACCTGGGCTGAAATCGCTTGACTCATCAGTCCCTACTGCCATCTCTCCAATGGGAAGAAACAACACCTTTTCCAGGATTGTTTCATCAATCCCAATAATTCGCCCTTGAACGACACTCGATCCATCCTCGGGGTCGTAATTCTCAATGTATTCCTCCACTAATGACACATTGATTGATGGTAAATGCTCTGAATGGTGCAAAAACTGGAACAGCTTCACAGTCCAAAAATCCCTTATTTTTCTCTACATCCAATAGATTTCTAACTTCATCGGCTCCATATTGGTAACGATTATCATAGCCGGTGGTTTTGCTGTGCGTTTAGCTCTTATATTTTGGCCACTTTCATCTCTGTCTACAGCTCTCTTGGTACTTTCAATCGCCATGACTCAAACGCTTACAGGTCCTAACCGTCAATGCAACTCTCCTGTATGTCCGAAACACTAAAATGAAACACAAATAAGTAACAACAGAATATAACACCACAGAATAACCCTTAATAGGAGCCCCACTCCTATTCTATTAGCTAGTGATGAAAACGACAATATGGTACCCATACTGTCCATTTCTCACTTTCTTCGCATCTCATACAATAGTGATAACTAAATATCCTTGCAGCCGCCTCTACGCCTTATACCATAATTAGGTCCCTCCTGAGTCCATTCGAAGTCTCCTCCCCTCAAATGAAATAAAACCCGTCCCGAATTTTAGGTATTATATAATCGTAAATGATTCCCATTAATGCGGGTACTGAAACGATGGTCCGTGAAATCCTCCAATTGAACAGACCCATTGGAAAATCCTTCAATTACGCGATATGGCCCATGCCAACGAACTTGAAATTTTTCCGAAAAATGATTGAATCGGCTGTCATACAGCAATACCAAATCATTGGGCATAAAACACTTCGACCGCAGTTTACTATCATAGTAACTCTTCCTCCGTTTTTGAGTGGCTTTCATGTGGAATAGAGCGATAGCCTGTATTTCATCCAATTCCTTTAATTTCATCAACCGAGAGTATAATGACTTGGTGTCATTGAGGCGTTTGTCTAAGGCAATATGTAAACTAGGAACCTCCAATTCGATAGGTAAAATTGCCTCTTGACCGTAAACTAATTGGAACGCAATAGAGTGGGTAGTTACTTTATAGGCGGTATGATAAGTCTAC